TTTGAATTTTTAAGATCTGATTAGAAATATGGTTGAAACAAGGAGAGCTTTTGCTTCTATGCTAGCTCTTTCTTCGCCTTCACCTTTTCTTCCTAATGGAAAAAGATTCAAAGTTGACTTTCTTTTTTAAAGTTGTATGATATAATTTTTTTTTTTTTGGATTTTTAGTTTTGAATGGGTTTGGATTTTGAAATTTTATTTGCATACACGAAGTGAATGATACAAATGAAGCAAAGGAATCTACGAGAAATGAGTTTAGTTACTCTGGCTAACGATGATGATGCACAAAAGCCGGATGAGTCGGTGGTGAAGTAATTGGGATTATATAAGTCCATGTTTGGTGGGGATTAAAATTAGATATTTAGTAGAGTTTGATAAAAAAATTTGAAATGTGTGAATAAAAAATTGTGGGACTTATAAAATATGTGATTAATATTAATTGTTTGTCTTTAACTAAAATTAAAATATGATTTAAATCAATACCAAACAAGTCATTAACTTGCATTCGATATACTCTTGAAGCTGCAATGTGCTTGCACGTGTGTCCGTTTCGCCTCAATTTTTACAATTTATAAATTTTGGAACAGTCATTTGATGGAAAATATGTGGTTACAAGGAAGTAAAAATTTTGAATTTATGTATAATGTTATTTTATTTATGAATGTGTAGTTGAAAAGAAGATGGAGCAAATTTGAATTTTTCTGTCCTTTCCTAAGACACTGGCATTGTCTGACTGTTTAATGTTAGGATTGATTTGATTACCAAATATTTGCTTGGGAGATGTCAAATGTACACTCTTGAGTGGACATCATGAATGACACTCTCTTTGAAATTGTGTGTTGTCACGTAGCACGGTGTAAATAAAGATGTCAACAATGATATTCCTGTAGCAAGATTGCATTTGCCTTGCTTCTGTTTATTGTCTATTTGAGAGTTTTCATTCTATTTATATATTCATGCAATTTAATTTACTCGCGTTTGGTAATCCCAAAATTACTAACATTTGACCAATTTTCTACATGGATAAAGGATCACCAAATTTATTTCCAATTTGAAGAATTGCCAGACATGACAATTCAAAAATATTATCACAAATCTCTCTTTAGGTCGTTAGACATTCCGCAAGATTAATTTTAGCAAAAAGGGAAAAACTATATAAATATACTATGTATTCGAAAAATGAAATTTCATACTAATTCATACTCTGATGTCATATTTGAAAGGTTGGACAAACAGTTCAAAAATAATCTCATTTGATTTTAGACATATATTAAGATTGCACAAATTACTACAATTTGTAAATATATATCTTAAATATTAGTCATTCTAAAATCACATCATTTCCTGTAACCGGAAATAATGCAAATATTATGCTTGCATTCAATTCCTTTAATATCAAAAACCAATTCAGAATTGCAACAGGAAACAATTGCCGTATCACTGCAGGTGGAAATCATTTTTGGATCGATCTTCATGTTTAGTTTTCATCCATCTTCTTCCGTCAAGTCATGTTCCTCTTTAGTTACTACTTCAAATTTTGCATAAATTGGGATTTTCTTCTGAAGATCATCTTAGCCAAATTGAAGGTAACACTGCATATTGTGATGTGATGATATGAGATATGAATATCGTAATTTATGAAATATGTGACATGAAGATCAAGTATATATGCTTTTAGAACGGGTAAAATATCACCTAAAGATGTGAATTTTGAGTTGTATAAGTAATTTTTATTACGTCTGGAAATTTGTTCTAGCAGATGCATCTATCATTGACATTTTTGTCGGGGATTGAAAAATGAGTTTGTCCCAATCAGGAGTGATGTTACCGAGAATTTAATTTAATAAATTTATGTGGTGGTCAAAAGTATACATAGCATTATATCTTTGTATAGATGTAGGTACGTAATCTGTTAACTTATTCATAAACGCGAAACGAGTTAAACTGAACTTTCAAGAGCCAGTTCGATTCAAAGGTCGAGATCAAATCTTCTCTGAAGATGGACTAGACTACTTGGTGATCCCAATCTTGTACGTGCATATGACATTTTGGAAGTTTTTGAATTCCAAATTGTTCTCATGGGACTAATTGAAGGATTCAGGGTCAACATTTTAGAAGTTATTGGTAAGGACAACCTTTACACCTTTGGCCAATACTTTTATCCTCTTGACCTTGCTGATGACCCCATCACTTTTGCTGAGTTGAAGGTGAAGAACATAAAAAATGAAAGGCGAACCATGTTCTTCATGTTCTAGTTCTTTATTTAGGCTATTGTCATTGAAAAAGGGCCCCCTGGAAAATATATCGGGGGTGGTAACCATGCTTGGGTCAATGCCACCAATTTCGTGAAGTTGTTCAAACAAATCATCAAAATAATTAATTAATTCTTTCTTTA